AGGTTCGGTGAATATTGTCGAATAATCCCCTCGACTTCGTCTCGGGGATTATTCGACGATATTCACCGAACCTGAGGTGAATAATTGTTAAATATACATTTTTTACCATGTAAATATGACGTAATTCAACTTTTGGGTTGCAAAGTTATATAAATGAACTATCTATCTATCTATTCTTCTAAGATCTTAATGTCCTTGTAGGCTGCAAATATTACAGCATTATCGGCATATAAATATATATAATACACCTGCTAACAGCAGCAGGTGGATCACTGATGAACAGCGCACGGATTGAGCCTTGCGGCACGTCAAAAGCAATATCACAGGGGTCTGACAAAGTACTCAGGACTTAATATTAAATGTACATAAACAAAGCTAAAAATGTAAATAAATGGTACAATACAGGCAGGGACTCCGCAACAGCTTACGCCAATTACTGCGGGCCCGAAACACATGGAATTGAAATAGAAATTGCAATAAAGATTAATGACTAGTTAGCAGCAACGATCAATGTTTCTTGTCAGGTTTCGGGCTTTGTTACAACTTGTGCAGATAGACTCAAATGAGCGAGGATCTTCAGGGTCATATTATTTACAGAGTGATTGCTCATAGTAACTGAGTAGGTGTGCCTTCCATGAACTAAGAAATACATTTACGGAAAGACCAATGTCATCAGCTAGAGCGTTCCATATTCTCACTGTGCGGATGAAAAAAGACCTGATGTGTAGTTGTTTTACATTTTTTGGGAACAAATAGAGTTACATTTGTGTTGCTACTGGATCTAGTTGTTCATGAGAGGGTGCGTCTGGTGGGAATTACAATAGGGTTAACCTTAACTAGCCCAGTCACAGATTTAAAGAAAAAAGAAAACCATATCTAGATACTAATGCTAGTAGGACACGGGGAGAAGGGCCAGTTTAATCAGTCTGTCTTTATAGGATTCTTTGCAGAGGAAAGGCAAGTTGAGGAGGTATTTTGTAGCCCGCGCTGAATCCGCTCTATCTTACGGATCAATTCTTTCGACTGGAGGGCTCACACTTGAGTGGCATAGCCGAGATGTGACCTGACTAGCAGGAGATAGATGACGTGTCTCACTGATGCATTCTTGATAGACCTGGTGTTACGTCTCACAAACCCCAGCATCCTGTTTGACTGTGCACACTGGTCGCACACCTGTTTGTTCCACAATAGCTTGTCGGAAATGATGACCCCGAGGTCCTTTTCCGCGCTGGTAACGCAAAGAGGAACCTCGTTTACGCAGTACGTGTTAGACACAACGTTGTGTTTCCGTGTAATTCGTTGTGCCTTGTACTTAGATTCGTTGAACATGAGGCCGGCCGAGGACGACCAAGTGGCGAGGCGGCTTTGGTCATCCTATAGTATTGCAGCGTCAGTTGGAGACTTTGTGGACTTAAAAATCTTGGTGTCATCAGCAAAGGCAGGGACGTGGCTAGATTTTACAGCACCAGGCAGAGAATTCGCATATTGGAGAAATAGCATGGGGCGCAATTTAGACCCCTGAGGGACTCCTGATGTCACTTGAAGAGCCTGCGAGTTCACTCCGAGTGCCGATACGCTCTGCATCCGATCAGGGAGGTAGGACTCCAGCCAGGCCAGAAGCTTTCCGCTGAAACCGTAATCACGCAGCTACCTGAGTAGTTTGCGATGACTCACCTTGTCAAAAGCCTTTGACATATCTAGGTAGATAACATGAACCTGACCACTGTTGTCGAGTTGGGAGCCGATATAGTCGAGTACCTCTACCAACTGCGTCACCCACGACCGCCCTGTTATGAAACCGGGTTGTGAGCTATCGATCAGACTGTACACGCGTTCTTTGATTGAATTGAACACGCAGCGTTCCATCACCTTGGAAACCCTTGAAGTAGTCTCAGGTTAGTAAACGTTTTTTCAGATTATCGAGACTCGAGCGTCCAACTTCTTGTTAATAGTAGCAAACAGTGTTCCATAATACAGCGCCGCAATTAAATCTTGATTGTTTGCTCTTTTGCGTTGTGAGTTGGAACATTATAGGTATAGGATAAAGAGTTGCAAAACCACATGACCATGGCGTTATGCGGGTACTTCTTTTGCTCACTTTTTTGCTTACATGGCCGCCATGTCTATTCAATTCAGACTGCCCGCTATGAAAGTTCCTTCTGTTAACCTATCCGTTGTAAACATTGATTTTCTCAAAGCCTCTTGCTAAATTCTCAACGTATTGCCCTGAAACCTATAAATTGTCGAATCTTCGCCAGGTTGCCTTCAGATACTCTCTAAGAAAACGAGTGATGCACTTTTAGGCGGAATTCCAATCTCTATATCCTATATTTGCGAAGTAAATATATGTTTTCAGTACCTTTGGGAATTTCTCTTAATAAAAACTGCAACAACAGTAACAAATTCAATTGAAGAAATATCTGTGAGTAAAGAAAAAGGCCTTCTTTCCTTTATAACTGGCGTTGGTTTATTACGCCAAGAGCCCTCCTGATTACGACAAGCTAATCATCATGCGCTCCGATGATCCAGTCCGATAATCCAGTCCAATAATCTAGTCTGTAGGAAAAACATAAAATTTTTTAGCCGATTAGTATGTATTGCGGGCGTATATTTTTCTGGCAGATCTCGTGACTTCAGTGATCCAAGATGCCTGAATGTTGCAAGCCTTGTTTCGAGGCCTTTGCCGTTTTTTTCGTGCTTTGCTCAGTTCAGAAGTCATCATCAGTGTCCTATAGGCTAACACGTACAGCTTACGATGAGATTATTAGGAAGATAGGTGTCTCTTTCGAGTCTTCTCCAAATATCTTCTTCACTCTGAACGTCTCCAAGGAATGCAGCGAAACTCTGGCAAATCTCTCCTTGAAGCCTGACTTCACAAAATGTGAGTATGAATAACGTGTCGAATTTATGAAGAAGCACAACCATTGTGAGATGTTGTCTGCGGCTGGTCACACCGCCTGTCGTTAAGCTTACACGAGGTGCTTCGTCAAAATTTACCGGTGCCTGTCGCATGTCACGAAAAAGGTAATGACCATAAGACTAAACTAAGGATCTAAAATGCATCCTAAATTTCTTACTTAACAAAGATCTTTTCTTTATTATGAATTTATTTTTAAGAGAAAGTGAAGACTTGCGCAGCGTTGAGAAAGATGTAAGCACTCGGAGTTTGAAGCAAAACCATAAATCAAGATTCATAGCGATTAGATTAAAAGGAATCGAGAATTTTCGCGCATAAAACTTGGGATTCATGAAGTAAGAGACATGTTAAAAAATGTGTCATGAATTTGGAAAAAAGTTACTAACGAATCATGAATCATTGCGCCCAAAAAAAGGCATGAATCATGATTCTCGAGAGTCAAATAAATCAATTTCCATCTGACGTAATCACTTACCGTTGATCGGCGATTGCCGAGCGATTGTTTTCATTCAGTGCGTCATTCCTTTGCTTCAAATTCAGGCGATAAATTTAGTGCCTTTCATTTCAGGGCTACTTTAATGCAATAAGAAACAGACGAAGAAAAGCAGTAGGTTTTTTTCTGGGCCCTCTTCTTTTATTTTATTTTAATTTTGTTTATGTGAAATACCCAACCAGTTGTTGCGTGACATAATTCAATTTACTTCAATGAACACAATGTTGATCTGCTCATAAATTTATCGGGGGCTTAATTTTTCACCGACTCCTCTAAAATGTGGCGGAAAATATTTTCTTGGTTTAAGACTGGGTTTTTAGTGTTAAGAAAGCAAATATTTTCAGTGACTACTCAAGAGGAATCACTCTGCTAACTGGGGATGCGTAGAAGTGGGTCACTCTATGTTGTTTCGGTGAGATGGTTTGTTTAAAATATTGCAACCTAACCAATTCATCCTATTTAAGCGCTATGATGGAGTGGTCCTCGGCAGACGAATATTATCAGTTCGAAGGCTAGTCTCAGTTGTTTTTGCATGACGAGACCAGAGAAATACTGCGAAGGAGACTGTGAATTCGAAACGTTATTGTAAGTGACCACGTCGAAATATTATGCACAGTGTAATCACAAATGTCGTTACCATCGTAATCAAAACGAAACCAAACTTATGGATGCGGAACACAAAGCAAAGCGAAGCGATCGAAGCGATAAAATACGTTTGTTACTGAATCATCCCGCCCTAAACTAATCTATAACTGACGCATAAATAAACCTGAACTAAGGAAAATAATTAACCAAGTCCAAGTATACAAAATGCAAAATAAAGCCTATCATATAAAACAAAAGAAAGCACGCAATATAAGACGAAATAAACAAAGCGAAAGGAACGCGAAAACTAAAGCTGAGCAAAAAGGAAAAACACAAGCAAAGAAAATGACGAAATCCTGACACCTACGCAAAGGATAATGTCAGTAAATAGTTTTTTTTTTTCTTTTGACCGTTTAGACCTGGATGCCATGGGTAAACCTCAAAGTGGATTACTATTGGGAAATATTGGTTGGTTGGGATCCTACAGTGAATGCACAAAGACAATTAGTGATGCACAGTATTGCCTGGCTTACATCTCATTTAATAAGGTAAATTGTTTACAGATGCTTTGATCCACATAATTAAGAAATGCAGCATCTGATTATTTGTTGTTGGTGGTGGTGCAACTGTTTTATCCCAAACTCCCCAAAAACTGAAAAAAAAAAAAAAAAAAAAAAAAAAAAAAAAAAAAAAAAGGTACAAAAGAAGGTACAGACGTCCCTACTCTTTAGCAGTTTGTGCAGATGGGAAACGATTGTAAGAATATAAAAAATCACTAGAAGATAACCTTCCTTGCAAAGAAAACCTTCTCTTTTTCCAAATATGATGAAAATTAAGTGAAGCCACGGAAAATTAATGCCAATAGCCCATTGCAGAAACATGAGAGGACTGGGAAAGAGTGTGCTTGTTTTCCGTTTGTTTGAAAAACTAAGATATTCAAATGAAAGATCAACTAAATTTGAGAGTCTTAAGTAAGAATAGAAGTCAGTTTAGAGGAGGAAAATGGCAGCTCTTCAAATATCACCTAAAATAGAGAGTATGTATGGATTGGGTAGACAGGCCAAAAAATTTTAAGGGTTTGTAGGGAATTTTTGCAACTTTTGCAAGGCTCCGATTTGGACAATTTTCCGCTGAAAACTCTCAAACTTTACCGGGTAGCTTTTCATTCAGTAACATTTCAGTTGAAATGTTTAGATTTTCAATGTAATCATTTTAAGAAACTCGTCCCAGTCCTCTCACGTTTCCGCTATGGGCTATTTATTTTTATTTGGGAGATTCAGCCGTCTGTCTGGAAGACTGCAAGTTTTTTTCCAACCGCAGAAGAATTTTCAAACCGCAGAAGAGGATTCTTCTCTAATACGCATTTGTCTGAATCTTAAATGTGTCCCCTTTTCACATAGACTGTGCCCATTCATTGGGGTGTTTGCGTACCAAAACAATGCAGTGAAGAAGATGTAACAAAAGCTCTGCAAGAAATCTTCTCAGGTGAACACTTGTTCACAGTTGTTAGGTCTTGAATGCTCTAAATAGATGTTGACTACATGTAAGGCCTGTTTAAAACATGATGTGTAAGTGTTAAAATAGCAAAGTGTCAACTGCAGTTGTAATGTTGATCAGCGTTTACATGCAGAATAATGCACGGGCGCGCGTAAACATAGAATTTCTTTTCGAGTTTGAGATATTTCACCGGTGAGTGCAGACCTTAACGGACAAGAAATTCGACAAGCGACCGTAAATTGAGGGTAATGACCTTTCTTCCGGTCCTACATCGTAAGGCGAGTGACATGTCAGCAGCGGATTGGCCATGTCAACTGACACGTTAAAAAGCGTCGTGATATTACACGTGTGTGCAGTTAAGGCTTTTCTCGGGGCTGGAAATTCTTGTAAAACACGGCAATGAATACCCATTTTTACCCTTCAAGGGATAACCAACTGCGACGAAACCTTGGTAAAAATGCTTTAACCTCAGGTGCACTCAAAGAAAACCCATGTATTTGTAAGATACTGTTGGGAATGAAAGGATTAAGGCCTGTATGGTTAATGGCATACAAATCAAGATTAATTAATTGAGGGAAGACATTCCCTTAATTAACTTATTAATTAAGGGAAGACATTCAGTCTAATGAAAAATATTCCTCTTAGCCGGTAGCAATGAGTCGGTGGTGAGCTTGGACCCTCAGCCAGTAAGTTTGATCGGAAATCCATCCCATAAGAAACCTGTTTTCTGCAGTAAACCGTCAGAATACACAACGGGAGTAAAGTTAACGCTGTGAGTACTGATACTGATTATGATGCAAAGATATTTGGTGCAATGTGCATTTTTCCCAGAGAATCACACCTTTTCCAGTTAAGATAATTCATAGTATATATCTCGAGCCTTCCTTTGATGTAACAATGATATCAAAATTGTGTATTATTCCTGAAATTCTACCGGACGCAGGGTGATTCTTCTTGCAAATCATTGTTGCTGCTAACTAGGAATTTGATACGGCCAGCGCGCGTAAGACGTTTAAAACTAAATTACAAGGCCATAGAAAAATATCCCAAAAGTCCAACCTTTTGTTTTGTGTTTAACCACTGAAGAGTTGTAATCTATTCTGGGTCCTTCCGTTAGTACTGAATTTGCAAATCCGTGAGAGGTTTGATAATGTTTTTAGACCACTGATTGTAATGGTGAAACCGATGTTTTTTCTTTTTTCTTGGTAAAAGATGAATCGCTATAGATTTTGCATGGCGCATAAAACTCAACTTACTTCTGACTACACGATTTTCTGTATGTGAGCATTAATTCTTTATTCCCTATCTCCTCACAGGATTTTAATAGGCTTAGTTTTACTTCTCTGTCTGGTTGGAACCAGCTTGGACATAGCTTTTGGCTTTATGAAACCAAACTCCGCACCTGTCAACAAAAGTGATGGCTTTATGCCGGTCAAAGAGGCTTCCATGGCAACAGACCGTGATACCATCAGTGACAGTTCAAATCTAATCCACTCTTCCACAGTGGTTTCCTCGAGTTCAAGCCGAATTTTGTCAAGTTATCCTCAAGAACCCGCAAAGCCAAGTGAGTAACACTTTAATCATCGTGGTGGGAGTTTTGATCTTAAACTGCATTTCTTTAACTGTGGCTGTTATGTATCAATGCATCTGCTGAAGATCCTAACCTCCCGGTTAGCTCAATGAAGAGAGCGCTGGACTGTTGTGCGGGAGGTCGAGGGTTCGAGCCCCCTGCCGGACCAACACTCAGGGTCTTAAAATAATTGAGAAGAATTTGCTACCTTTCTATGACATCAAGAAATGGTTAGATATTCTAGTCTTCTCGGATAGGGACGAATAAATGGAGGTCCCGTCTCCTGCAGGGTTGGGGTAGGAGACGTTAATTTCCCACACACGAGATTACTGTGTGATGGATGTCCTCCCCTGGGGTGGGATGGGTGGGTTAATAGAGGGCCATAGGATTATCAGTTTAACTACTGTCACGTGCTACCCTCTTGAAATAAAGTCTCTCTCTCTCTCGCTACAGTTATTATTTTTTTTCCTGTATTGGACGTTTTAGAACTGTTTGTCCTATGCTTTGACTTATTCAGTAATTTGTGTTCATGAAGCCTAGTTCCCAGGCGATCCAAATTCACTCACTCAACACACAAATCCCCTAGTTCCTCTTCTATTGTTCCTCGTTGGATTGGTAGTCTCCCTACTGACCTCAGCGAATCATCGTGTAAGGGGCTAGTGGCATCGCATTTGCCTCGAGAAGATTAACAACTCGTTTTCTTTTCTACCCAGAGCTGTGTTGTCTGATTCCAAATAAAGCGCGTGAAAGGTTTCTAAAGGCTACTGAGACCACACCCAAATGACAGTTTCTAGATGTTCGCAAAGGATGTGTTGTAGTGAAAGAAATTGGCTACGAACCAGATGAATCGAACTCATATACAGTGCGGGTCGCTGAGATACCCAAATTACACTCCTTCAAACTGCAAAGTTTGGTATTCTCTATTACTTAAGAACGTTTCTTTAACTGTTTTTTACCATAGATTTGGTGTCGCGATTCTTGTTATGTTTTTCATGGATCCAAAACACAAATCGTATCATGGATACCAATGTCCCTCCCAGTGCTATTACGTCAATCAATGGTATGAGAGTACTAAGCATGTGGTGGGTCATCTTGGGACATCTTTACTCCATACAAATGATAACATCTATCAGTAAGTATTTGATTTTTACAAATGATGAACTGAATTATACACGCATTTTGATTGAGTCTTAATTAAGACCTATTAGAGGACAGACGTATAGATGACGTCGCCATTGACAACAGTTTGCTTTTTTATCAAACAAAACAAATAAATTCCATGTTGCTGTGGGCTTTTATCTGTCTACCAGTCAAGTGGCCCGTCAGGGCGGCGTTTAATTCCGGTTTTCGTAGCGTGAAGCGACCAGGAGTATTTCTACTTCCCATTGGATGGAATGCTAAATACCCCTCAGCATTAAATTCCCTGGTACCCATTTAAACGCCTGGGCGAAGAGAGACACTGTGAGACTAAAGTATCTTGCGTAAGAGCACAGCACAATGTCTCCGGTCAGGGCTCGAACCCGGACCACTCGATCCGGAGTTCAGCACACTAACCATGAGGCCACCGCCTCCCCTCGCGGGCTAGTTGAGTAATAGATCGCAAAAGACGTCAAAATGTCGTAAGAACACGAGTCACGCACTTGGCTGCGCCGCTCTTCCCAGTTTTTTTGTTCTTATGAAATATTGACGCGATCAGTTACTGTAAAGACCCATGGCATTTGCGTCTTGCCCCTAACCAGATTTTTTCTCTGACTTTATCTAGGTAATTTAAGGTTATTCACCGACATTATTCATCGCTTCACTTTCCAAGCGGTTGGCAATGCAACCTTTTCGGTGGACAGTTTCTTTTTCCTGAGGTAAGTTAATAAGAGTCTTTATTCATTCATTTTTTCATTCATATAGTCACAGCATACGTGTGACTTTACAAAAATTAATTTAAGGTCAAGTACAATTAAATAAAATTAAAAAGACACCTATTAATAAAGGATCTCTTAAAGCGTCCTGTTTTAACAGCAGGTAAAGTAAAATCATGTCCTCTGTTTCGCAAAAATCTCTGTTTCTTAGGGGGTAATAGTTGATAAAGGAGGTGGGAAGGAGTATCTGTGATAATTTTCCATAGCTTACTGTCTCGGTTTCTTATAACTTCAGCTATTACATACAGGTTGTTGGTGTAACCAAACCTAACGCTCGCTTAAGAAACCTGTCAATGCGTTCTGACCCTGAGTGTTAGTCCGGCCGGGGCTCGAACCCTCGACCTCCCGCACAACAGTCTAGCGCTCTATCCATTGAGCTAACCGGGAGGCAGTTAGCTCAATGGATAGAGCTAACCCTCTTAGTTTCCCTCTTGTACGTAATTTTCTAATTGCAGACAACGTCGTGCAAATATCATGATCTTCACCTTTTGCTCCAGAACAAGGCTTAGCATTTTGAAATACACCAAGGTGTGATTTCCTTCATTTTGTGGGAGAAAGTTTTATTAACTGAGTAATTATCCTAACCGACAGACAGCAAGCTGTAAGAATAGGTACAACACTATCAGAATGGAAATTCCTCAAGGGAGGTGTGCCGCAGGGAACTAAATTAGGAGTGAAACTTTTCACAATAATGACAAACAATCTTTTAGCTGATTGGCACCTGAGAGTCAAGTTTGTGGATGACACGTCTGCCATAGAAATACTACCCAGGAACTCTATCAGTCTGCTCAATACGATCGTTTCTAACATTCACGAATTCTCCATGGACCATAACATGAGACTAAACCCTACTAAATGTAAAGAGATGTTAATTAACTTTATGTCGTATCCTAATTTTACTCTCAGACCATTAGTTATTGATAATAACACTATAGAATGCGTATCGACTTACGAGATTCTAGGAGTAGTCATCGATAGCGACCTTAGGTAAAATACTCATGTTAACTACATATATAAAAAAGCTTGCATGAAGCTCTACTCTCCACGTATTCTACGTCGAGCCGGCGTTGACCAAGGTAGCATGTTAAAGGTCTATACAAGCGCTGTTAGATCTGTTATAGAGTACGCCGTACCAGTATGGCAATCCATTCCAGGTTATCTGTCTGACAAAATTGAATCCATACAGAAAAGGGCGCTTAAGATAATTTTCCCATGTGCCGATAGTTACTCAGAAGCCCTCGAGTTAGCACGGGTGGAGACCCTTGCGTATAGAAGAGATAAGATATGTAAAGAGTATATGTGCAAAATGAAGGACTTAAACCACCCTCTCCATCCTCTTCTACCAACACGCTTAGACGATACCTGTCCCTATAACCTCAGGCACAAATCAGACCAGTTGTATCTTTACAGAAACGTTACTACCTGTAGAACGAAGCGCACCGAAGACTTTTTAACTTTTAAATATTTTTAACAAATGTGATGCATGTTCCGTGTAGTGTATGTAACTTGTACTTAATGTATACAGAAATGTACATAGTCGTTCTTTAAGTTTTTATTGTATCATAACTCGTTAATTCAGTAAGTTACAGCAAGAGAGTTTAATAAACCACTATTAGTATTATCTTAACTTATACTATTGATTTTTGAACCAGCGGTCTTTTGGTAGCTTATCTGGCACTTCGTAATATGGAAAAGAAAAATGGAGAACTTCCCCTTTTCATGTATTACTTTCATCGTTTCTGGAGGTATGTGCCTGGCTCAGATTTTAAATTTTGTATCTTGTTACCTCTAAGTGAAGGAACGGTAATCTAATATTTGGAGTGGAATAAGTATCATGCATGTTGAAATATCACCATAGCTGATTCAGTTCGAGTTATTCATTTTGACCTTGTGTGTAAACGGCTGTTAGTCAAATCAGCTTCTAAAAATCCGTTATTACTCAAAGTGCCTTGTGAGAATTCAGCTCACGTTTCTGAAAATTGTCTCTTGGGAACTGACAGTTGACCAGTTCCCTGCCATCGACAAATGAATCAATCTCTAACAGGAAAAGCAGAGAAAGCGTTTTTGCGAACGCGGGCCTTAAACTTTAACTTAAGGAAGCTCGAAAGGGTTTTTTGACCGCGCGGATTATGGCTTCCAAGATACACGCGATGGCGCGCGCGATCGCATCCGCGGGCGATTTGTAAACAAAAATGGCCGCCACGAGCTTTTCAAAATTGCTGGGTACCTCTACTGTTTCCAGCGGAAGTGGTTGGTCGAGAAACAAAAATGGATAGTGTACCTCTTCAACGCAGGTAGGAAAATGTTTGGATGGCAAGACTACTGCCGAAAGTGGTCCAAAAACATTTATTTACCGAGGTAAAGGAGGATGGTGAAGTCGAAAGCCCATCAACAAAGTCGCTGGGTAGGTCTTACTTTGTTCCGCGAAAAATTTAAGTGGATACCTCTGAGTGCTACGATTTGTTTCGCATTGAAATTGATTCCTAATTAAGTGAAATGACCGACAACTTTCCCAAACAACTCACTGGAAGATGAAAAGGAAAATTAAATCGTCGTTGGATCCAGGATTATAAACATTGACAGTTTTATGAACGGAAATGGAGAAGTGTAAATGTTGCCCTAAAAATAAATATAATTTTCAAGTTTATTACATCCATTTTCAAATCACTGGTGGTCCCTGTAATCTGGTTGGCTCTAATTGGTGCGATTTATTCACGAATCGCACCATTTTTTGCTCTAAATCGCATCATTTTACGCTTGACTGAGTTTTTGACACATGACGTCAAAGTCTTTCTGTTTTGCATACAAGATGAGATGTAAAAGCGTTTCTGGTTCCGCTTTTTATTTTAAAAAGCGGCTTAGTAATGCATCAATAAAATATTGGAATTGACCAAGTCCTGTATTTGGGCGATTTCAAAATGGATGTAATAAAGTGGTAGTTATACCTCGTGTCTTGCAATTTTGGTCTGAAATCATACTTGTGTTTTCAAATCGAGCTCGCGCTGCGCGGTCGTTCGATTTTGAAATCCTGCGTATGATCTCAGCCCAAACTGCACTCCACAATTACCATTATAAACAAGAGATCGAAAAAATGTAGATGAGACTTTAATTCTAATTTAACCACAGACGGTTAAATTAAAATAAAATATTTATCTTAAACTTGGGAGAAAGATAGTTGATTTTTCCCTCGATAAACTGTTAATTACATCTGGAAAAATGCAAACTCGCGTTTGTTAAGGAAGGATTGCTAAATTCGTTTTGTTTTCCATTTAAAACTGAATAATGAACTTTCATGGTTATGACAGTGGCAAAGAGAGAAGAGGAATAATGAAGCCAAGGCTTGTTCATACCTCTAGTACCTCGAAAATTATAGAAATTCGCGAAATCTGTGACAAACAAATTAGTGATGTATATGAAACCCTGTTTTCCGCTAAGTTTGACGCTCACGACAATCTGGGAGACGTCAAAGCAAATTCTTTTTACTCCAAATTCTTTTCACTCCTTTTCTTCAAATTGTACATGAACAATTATATCGGTCAATCATGGTAAATGTGCATCGCCGAATGAGGCCTTCGATCAAGCCATCTTCTGGGAACAACGACAAGATGCCATTATACGTTGGATGGAAAGCTTCATCTTTCGACAAACATGGTCCAGATGCTGGTCTGTCTCATGTGACACTATAATCTCTGTACGAGAAACTCAACATTAACGGCGCCAATGGATTACTGGCATTGGCGCCAACTGCAAAATCAACTTGTCACCATATCGAATTCCGCAAGAGAATTCTCTCCGGAATACTCTTACATCTCCAACGGTCGTAACGGTAAGCAGTCTGGGTCTCAAATGAATACTTATTTTTCAGGAATGTGTAAAATCACAAACCAATGTGAATCCATCATCAGGACGAACGCTTTTTTCCTCGCTAAGGGCATCCATCGAGTAATCGCGCGGACTCGTCCTCGTCCTCGCGAGAATGAGCCGTTGAGTCAGTGGTATCGTTTAAAACGCGTGACCGGATATAAAAGTGTGCGCTAAAATTGCAAAAAGCGGAAATAAAGCTTGCTAAATTGGTGAGCTAATATCTCGAAAATTAGTTCGGTGACCTACCCTGATTTTTTGTGTACAAATAGCATTCATCAATACGCGTTTGTGAAGAGAATTAAAAATAAATTTATCTAGTTATTTTCCCAAATAACTAAAGTTCTACCAGACAGTTTTTTTAATATCACGTGTACAGATAGAGAATGTGATGATGTTTAAGAGCCTGACGAACACCCTTAACAAAATGGACTAAAATAGTTTTATACAGATGTCAAAACATTACCCTGATGATAAGTTTGACAGTCCTGATATCTTTTATTATTTGGCACTTGCCGCTACTAGTGGAAAACCCTTTCGAGTCTCCTTAAGAATAATTAATATGTAATGTAAAAACAAATATCAACAGCTCAGGCGTTTGAGTTCTGGACGCTACTCGTCGGAGGACTAAGCCGTATAGCTAATAGTCCATTTTACAGTTGTGTGCTTGGTTGCCAAGCCTTTGAATGGGAGTGAGGCTAGAGATGACCTTGTTATGATACAAACCTTGCTGCCTTTCAAATGTAAATCACTTTGTTATCATGCTAACTAGATACAGGTCTCTATCACAACAAGGTCATCTTAAGCCTCACTCTGAATCAAAGGCTTGGCAACTAAGTACACAACTGTAAAATGGCCCATTAACCCTTTGTCTGGTTAGAGGACAGACTTCTCAGGCGCAAGTCGATTGTGTGACGTTTTGAAGCCAGTATCTTTTTGTACCATATTATAATCAGACAAGTTTATTTAATCACTTTCACCAGAATGTGGTGAGGATCGCACAACAGAGGGAGGCTCCAAATTAAGTGCGCTCAATATCCCACCCATCCCACCCCAGGGGAGGACATCCATCACACAGTAATCTCGTGTGTGGGAAATTAACGTCTCCTGCCCCAACCCTGCAGGAGACGGGACCTCCATTTATTCGACCCTATCCGAGAAGACTAGAATATCTAACCATTTCTTGATGTTCTGGAAAGGTAGCAAATTCTTCTCAATTATTTTAAGACCCTGAGTGTTGGTCCGGCCGGGGCTCGAACCCTCGACCTCCCGCACAACAGTCCAGCGCTCTATCCATTGAGCTAACCTAAATTTTCAAACTCTATCCATTGAGCTAAGTTCTTATCTTTGTGATAGTAGTATTTTTACTAGCGGACATCTCGTTAACAATTCTATTGATTCTACACAGGTTGACTCCAACTTACATGTTCGTTTTGCTGTTTTTCGATAAAATGACGTCTTTCCTGGGCGAGGGTCCGATGTGGTATACAATTCAGTCGGGCAACACTTGCGACAGTTACTGGTGGACGAATCTGCTCTACATTAACAACTTTTATCCGACTAAATTTTCAAACTCGGTATGACTTAAACCAATCTTCAGGATAGTGGATGTTGTTAATGTTTAAATGGAGACCTTTACTGATAATCATCCTAGAATAAAAATAAAATGCTTGTCGAGGTTATATTCCGTGTATCGATGCTTGTAGAGGGAAGAATTCTGGCCGGGATCCTGATATCTAAACCCTAGTCCCTCGATTTTAGACAGATATGGAGGTGTAGCCCATTGTGGGTTGTTTGTTGACAATTTTACGTGTAAAGATCGTATTATTGTTTTCTTTACAGTGTATGGGCTGGTCCTGGTACCTAGCTAATGATATGCAGTTTTATATCATCTCTCCTGCTATCCTCTTCACGGCGTACAGGTATTCAGGCTAAGAATCGGGCTTCTTTTGAAATGCTAGGAATCAATCTTGCATCGCCCAGACAGAACATGTATGTTTTTTTTGGTGCCGAACTTTTCATCAAAACTAGTGTGCACTAAAGCTTCACGAGGAAAACTGTAAGCCTCATATTCGGTCACAAGATGTGTTGAAGGCGATCACACCACAGCCAGAATATTTAGGTGGATTATAATTCTTATTTGTGTATAGTAATACTCCCAATTGCTGCAACTGTATGGCGTTTTAGCGTTTCCGTCAGATCCTAGCAATACCTTAAACCTATTTCGTGTTGAAATGTATAGATCACTTTAAGGGTTGTCAATAATTTTGTATGATTGCAACTTTTGAAATCTAAAGTCCTCCTTATATTTTACGTTTGAAACGAAAGTACAGAAAAGGTACCTCTATAACTGTTTGTGCCAAGGACGTAAATGTATCATTTGCACGAAACATTTATTGTTACTATGGGATTGGTCATTAACTCTCCCCTGGTAATTTAACCACAGACGGTTAAATTAAAATAAAATATTTATCTT